AAAAAAACCAGAGAAAGCGCAGATACTGAGCTAAAATTGCATTTAAGAACAGTATATTACTTTCGTTTCTTCAGAAGGTATCCACAAGGATGATTTATATTTGAGTTTATTCCTAGTTTATTAGACATTGAGGAACTGAGGATATCAAATTGACCCTTTAATAAAACAGAAAGTTAATACTTTGGTCTAACTATCTATATAATCAGATTTTATTCCAAGATGCCTTGACTTGAAATATCATCCAACAAATAGTAATATCAATACTTCTCAAATACCTCTCTCCCTCAAAGATGGAAAGCAGCAATTGGGATCCGAACCGAATGCTTAGCCGATTTCCAGAGAATATACCCCTGACGAGAATCAAACGTGTCGCCGACATATTCCGATCCCCGAAAACTAACTTCGTATGTCGATTTCTCGTTCAACCGAGTGAAATTAAGTGTCTCGAACGTCACAACCACGCTAATGCCATGTGGCGCAACAACCTCAACGTTGTAACTCGAAACAGCCACTCCAACATTAGTAACCGTCCTCGTAAACGTCTGATTAGGCGAACCTAACCGAATTGCAAACGAAGGATAATTCAGCTGCCCTTCGTGAATTATCGGCACCGCCGAGCAATGAGCTCTACGTAGCAAGATCCTGCTCACCTCCCTACTCGTGTAATTCAAGCCGCACAAGTAAGGGATATAGTCGTCAGGGGCGATATCGTAATTAAGCCCCGGATCGCTCGCCCGTGCAGGGTTGACATGCCCCGCACCGACAGCGAAAACATCGGCCGGGAGATGCTCTTCGTCCATTATCGGGTGGTTCTCGCGATCCATGACGTCAGCAGAAGTCATGATCGCCGATTTGATGGCGGCGGCCGACCAATCGGGATGTGCGCTCTTGGTCAATGCCGCCACGCCGCTCAGGTGAGGGCACGACACCGAAGTACCCGAGATCATTTCGAAATAGTTACTTCTCGTGTTATTATTTGCGACAAGATTCGGCCAAGCTGCAAGAATGTTAACTCCCGGGCCTACGACATCCGGCTTTAGGATTCCCTGGCTTTCGTAATTCGGTCCCCTGGCAGAAAAGTCAGCCACCGTCGGAGATTTTCTATCGCCGGTTATTGTTCCTTTGAACTCGATTGTTGCTGTTGGAGTAGATGTCGAATTCAAATACGACAAGATCGTTAATCCATCTTCG